ACAACTACCACTTTATTGTTCAATGACTGTGTACAGGACTGCCCACGTGCTCCAGGACTCGTCTGGCTATGACACACACCACAGATGGCTCTCCGACTGATGGGGGACATTGTCTGAGCCACACACTTCCCCAGTCGTTTTTCCAACCATCAGAAAAACAAAACCTCAAACCAAAGTCATTCTTCACTCATGACAGTGTGCACCAGCCAGGCCACAGAATAGCACAGAACGCAAGGGGCTGGGCTTCCCTCTACAAACCATGAGGCAGCTTGTGAACCCGGAAACACATGTACATTTCACTGCAACTAAACTGACCTCTGCTCAAAGCCAAGCAGGTCAGATTTGGACTTAGGGGCACAAACGTGGTAATGAACTTTCATTTTATATATACATTACTCTTCTCTTGTTAAATCAGCTCACGTTCCCAGTTTAGACATTCTTCATGAGTTAAGCAGTGATGATTTAAAAAAAAAAAATCAGCCAAGTGACTTTACATTTCAATGAAACATTAAATTTGTTCACAAGAGTATATTCTACTTCACATTGACTTTTCTTTTTCGGTTCAAGCACTTCGTAAGTATTCACAACTTGTGTTCTAAATCTGGGAAATATTGACATTACAAGCACTCATGTACTTTCTAAGGATGTGAATTTAGAGCAACAGATGGCATGATGAGTATATAAACCTGAAGCAGCAATCACAACCTCAAATGATTTTAACACCAAGGAACGCTGCAGAGATTGGGGTCAGCCAGGATGCTGATGTGGTAGGGTTCACTCTCCTAAAACCTGTGTTATATTGTCCAGTGCTGACTTGAGCACAGCCTAGGTGTTTCAGCAGAGTGGAGCATTTGATTCCAGTCAGTGCAGCTCGGTGAGAGGACAGAATAACAATAGTGAATGTAACAGAAACAAAGGAAGAGGCAACTGAACTGGATTTCTCCAACCCTGAATACAGCCAACTTGCATTTTTAAAGTGCTTAAACCTTTATACCTTCTAGGTAAACCTTGCCTTGGCTGTTTACTCAGAGCCAAGATATATTTAGTTTGGGCTTCCCTTGTAGTTCAGTCGGTAAAGAATCTGCCTGCAGTGCAGGAAACCTGGGTCTGATCCCTGGGTCGGGAAGATCCCCTGGAGAAGGAAATGGTAACCCACTCCAGTACTGTTGACTGGAGAATCTCATGGACAGAACCTGGTGGGCTGCAGCCCATGGGGTCGCAAAGAGTCAGGCATGACTGGGCAACTAACACTAACACACTTAGTCTAAAAAAGAATCTTAAGCACATGCACAACTTATTGGTCAAATTCACACGCCAGCACGAACAGGAATTTAAAAGAGCAAGGCACCCAAGGACTTGACATATGCTTTCCCCAAGAGTTACAAAGGCAGGTAGAGAAAAAGGGAGCAGATACAGGATCGTGGCCAGCATCTCCTATTTTAGGTTTTATGCTGGTTGTGACGGCCATTGGCACACACCAGGCTGAGAAGCCTGCCACCTAGCCTGGTCCCTCGGCAGCAGCAGGTGGTCCCCAGTGTTTTCAGATCCCTACAGGCTTCAGTTGTAATGACTCTAAAACATTTGTCCTAATTTAAACATGGCAGACTCTTTGCGACCCCATGGACTGTAGCCTACCAGGTTCCTCTGTCCATAGAATTTTCCAGGCAAGAATACTGGAGTGGGTTGCCATTTCCTTCTCCAGGGGATCTTCCTGACCCAGGTCTCCTGCATTGTAGGCAGACGCTTTACCGTCTGAGCCACCAGGAAGTCCTAGGTAAAGGAAGTTTTAGGTAAAGGCACAGGCCAATTCTTAATGTAAATATGCCTTTAAAAATACTGACTGAGGTTTCTCATGGATATAAAACTTCAAATGGCAAAAGAAAATGGAATTTAGAAGCGCTGCCATGATGCATTCTAAGCAGCAATATAACATTTTATACCCACTCTGCCTGTTTTTGCCAACCATTCATCACTGCTCTTGTACATCAAGCATGGCTAATGGCAAGTATCTGTGACTTCCGACCATGGCGTGTATGAAGAGCCAAAACAGAAGTGAATGTTAAAGAGCCTTGTCATTTTTTCTCAAAAAGAATCTCAAGGTAAGACTATTTTAAAACATTAAGTAGTTCTGTTATTAATAAGCATTCCACTCTGAATGTGCCATTTTCAACCAATCTGGAAGGCAGAGATAAACTGAAGAGCCATTAAGCCAGTCCTAAGTGCTAGGATTAGACGTTACTTTACTTGGCTAACTACAGGGCGCACATAGAGCTTAGAGTATATATAATCTTTGACATCTGTGCTGTTTTGGCCCATTTGCAAAAATTAGCAGGCCACTTGGAGGTTGTCAAAAGTAAGAATTATCTAAGAGAATGTGCTTTTAAGTGAAATTTTGTTATCCCAAAAGGATTCAATTCCAGTGGGAAATAGAATCTTTACTGAAAAGTCAAGAAGCAAAATGATCAAACAAAATCAAAATGCAGGCTTCTTCTATGAAAATCTCAGAGAAGAGCGATAAGGTCTTTATACCTACTACACAAAGGACTTTTAGGTGTCCTTTTATTATGAAAAAGAACATAGAATCTGAGTGCTGATAAGGATGGAGTTCAAGTTTCTTGGATAACCTTGTGTTCCTGAGATGACAACACATTTCAAACTTTAGCTCTAGAAGTTTAGACAAGAATGATCAAATCTGAGCACACCAGGTTAGACTTCCAGAGATATCCATGAGGAATCTTATCAAAGGCTATTCCCTGAGACATGCAAGGGTAGTGAAAATGTAACTCAGTACAAAAAAAAAAACTTTTAAAATCATTTTGATCTCTCTCCCCCCTTAAAGCAATTGTTAAAATAAAAAGATTTATCATTATAATCTCAACTCTTTGTTTCACCGTTCTTTAAAAAAAAAAATTTCATTTAGGGAGAGGCTAGGCACAAGTGGGATCCTTTCACATACATTCTCTCTCCCAACACTTTTTTTTCCCAATACTTTTCTTAAAAGATGACTTCTTTAAAGGTACAGAAATAAACTTCTTACAATTGTAATAAGCTTATGGGAATCCCAAGATAGTTGGCATGTTAAAGAATGCAACTATGATTCTTCACTTTTGGAAACTATAACATGAAAAAATTAAGTAGACTTAATGGAATCCTCAAATGATGAGAACTTTTAAAGAATGCAATCGCAATTTTGTACTTTTGAAAAATGTGATGTGAAAAACAAATCCAAAATACTTCTCTATGTAAATTAAAGCTTCAGCCATGGTATTCAAAATTAAAATGATTTACATAATCTACTATATTTTTTTTGGTAATTAACCTTCCTGAGGCTGATTTTGTTCTTAGTGTTTGCTTAACTAAAGTGCCTAATAAAATTTCTACAGAATATATTACCCTCTTCATAGATGAATATTATTTTGAACTACAATCTGACAAAAATCTAACTACATTTAATTATGCTTGATTAATCCAAATGTCACTGAGAGATTTATAGAATAGAGAAATATTTTTCAGGTTAAGTTCATCCTCTTTTTCACTGCAAGCTTCCTGGATCCACTATTACCACAAACCTGCGACTCAGTTCTCTAACATTTTTTTAAAAATCCCACCAAAAATAACTAGACCACGGGACTCCAGACATCAAACTCTACTGCTTATCCTTTTCAAGAGATGTGCAGACTCCATCAAAGACTTAAGTCACCACTTCAAATTGGGAAGCGAGCCACCCCTGTGGAGACAGTAGTGCTGGAGGGAAAAGAATAGAGAAACGAGGAGTCGTCAAACACTAATATGCATTTATTAAATGCTGCAGAGTCTTAATGCGAGATAAGAGCTGGGCTTTCTTTTAATACAGGCACTTAACTGTATCCCACATTCGAAGGCTTTCAGTAGTGATGCCCCAAGGTGCTTTCATTTATATGCAAATGCACACCTAGATACCTTCCCTAGAAACCAGCCGGGCAGGTGTCAGAAGACCTCCTCAGTATCCTCCTCAGCTCTGAGGGAGCAGGATCTCTACCGAGAGCTCCCCCCACCCCACAAGTAGCTTCTTGCATCCTAGCTCCACTGACCCATCACCGGCATCCTGGGCAATTCAAGTCCAGGTTTTAGAGATAGATGAAAAGGCATAAACAAAGGTTTCTCAAGGATTCCAGGACCTCAATATGGCTGTCCTTTTATTTTCTTCATTTGGGGGGTGAGGAGAGGGGAGCACGGGTTGAACATTGCAGAGGCCATCTTGCAGACTTGAGAGGTAAGCCTCCTCAGCTAACCCTCTCCCCCGCCTCTCAGACCAGTTTGCCAGTGTTCCAGTCTTTCCTCCTGACAAGCGGCATCATCCTCCAGAGGCTGGAAGTGGGAGGATCTGGCTTCGGTCTTGAGTTCTGAAGTTCTGCAAAAACCCATCTGGGGTGTGGCTTGGCCTGCATTTCCGTTGTGAGGAGACAGCAGCCCACACCATCAGTGCAATGTGATGATCGAACCTGGCTCATGTGCCCACGATTCCCCGCTGGCCAGCGAGACAAGGAAACGCCAACGGGCTCAGCCTGGACCCAAAGCAGCAGAGCCAGGCCGGGAACATGGCCTCTCCAGATGCAGAGGCACACACACAGAGGAGACAGGATGTCAGGGCTCACCGATGCCTCCTTGTTGAACAAACACAACCATACCATCCATGAGGATGAAAATGCTTGCAGGGTTTTGTGCCCTCCCCCCCTCACCTGTCCCTTGCCAGCCCCTTCCCACCTTTTTCTCCCAACTATACTAGAAACTCTCCTTGGTGAGGGTCTCGCCTGACTCGCCCACCTGAATGTGGGCTCAAGAGGCCGGGACTCAGCCTGCTGTCATCACGGTGTATGTCCAGCACTGGGCATTTCAAGTGCATGGGAGACACTAGCTATTTAAAGGGAGGAATGAACATGGCTTTCCTTTCCATGAATCCTCTTTCCACCCCCTTCACTTCCTTTGTCCCTCACATGTGGACACATGATCCGTGTTGCGCTTCACACCAAGAGGGAACCAGAGCTGAGACCCTGAACTGATGGGAAGGCGGTGGCCAGGGCAGAGTCAGGCACACTGAGCAAGATCCACACTGTGGATCGTGTGCTTAGCTGAAGGGAGGAAAGTCTGCCTAGTGGGATACGTGGTCCACTGAGGGAAGGAGGCTTCAATTCTACAAACAGGCCAAATAAAACACTCAACCTGTGATCACCCTGTAAATGCACTTTTGAAACATCAATTTGTGTGACAGTAGGTCCCAGGCCTACGAACCATCTCAATATACACTTGTGAATATCAGCAACCATCCTGATAAGGACTTAATGCCTTTCTATTTCTTAATGAACCATGTTTTGAGATGGGTTGCTAAAAAGACAAGACAATCTGTGTCACAGTAAAAGCTCTCATAGGAACACTACTCTCAGTCAGGCAGTTTGACTAGCAACCTGTTAGTAAAAAAAAAAAAAAAACAGTTTAAACTTCTCTTGATAACAACTGATTATCTGCTAGTTTGAAATATTCCATCATATTTAATGAACTAATAAATCTGTCAATGGCTAGTCACTTTTGAACTTCATTAAAACATCACCTGCCCTCTTGTTTTCAAGCCAGAAGGTACTGATCTAATTGATGGACCAGGAACTCAAGGTAAAAGCTATCTTTTTAACAAAGAATAAACAAACATCCGGTATTGATGAAGTTATTAATGGTACCTTCCTGCTAGCAGCATGGCTTCCATCTGCTGACTAACATGTAGCTTATGGTTGGGAAGGACATTATCGTCAAAGTCAATGTTTAAGCACCTGGACTGCTGGGAAGATGGCAGAGTAAGTCCATGTTTATATACGTGCTCCTGCCCTTCAACACACACATCCAAAAGCTGAAAAGGCAGCTGTCTACAGGGAAACTAATAAAAGCCACCATGCCATACCAAGGACTCCAGGGAAGCGTCTGACAACTAAGCTAGGGACTCATCAGAGAAGGCTTCTTCAATCTGTCAAGCAGGCCACAGTTGCTGGGCAGTCGCTGAGAGGGTTTCAGGGGACTCGACCAATTATCTCTGAACTTGGAGAAGCAAAGCCTGGTGGTGGTCAGGACAAGCTGAGGGCACGTTTCCCCAAGCAAAGCTAACAGGGGAGATTGACATCTCATGTGCCCCATCTGTGTGAAGAGGAGACCAACAGTAACTCAGGAGCTAAACACACAAACACTGATTACACGTTATCCAGCGGAGCAGAGGGACGAACCTTCCGAACTCCTGAGCGGGCGACCTCTAGTGGAAATAGGGAAACTCGAGGGGATCTCTCTCCCCAAGTGGGACCCAGCCAGCCCAAGGGCAGAGCATTCAACAGTGTCCATGAAGGCACTCCGGGAGGCTTTGCTTCCCCCCTCCTTCCCCCGCGTCCAGAGAGCAGAATGGAAAACAAAGACCGCCTCTGTTCCTACACCCCATCAGCATCCAGCCTGCCAGTTTCAGGGCTCAGGTGATCAAATGCATTTCACTTGAAAAACGAGGAGTTCAAGGAAGACTTATTCACATTCTTCTTGGCAGACAGAATTGGTCCCATGCAAAGACCAAAATAATAAGCAGAAAAAGCCATTGCGATACTTGTGCAACAATAAAAGAGCAAAACAACACAGAAGAAAAGGAATGAAAGAAGCAAAAGATAGGTACACACACTCTGGAAAAAAGAATGATCTCAGAAACCATGAAAATGGTAGACCACATAGGTCAGCTTTCCAAGAAGTGAAATAAGGGGTCAAAGAGGACAACACAATGAGAGAAAAAGCTAGCAGAGCTAAGCAAAAGACACAGAGAAAAAAGATAAAACTGTAGCCAAAGTGAAAGCCACATGGAGGCCAAATCGAGGCCTAGAATCAACATCACAGGAAATGCAGTCAGTGAAAATGGGAGGTTAAGATGGGAGAAAAAACATCACACAGCAGGAAGAAAGACAAGGAGACCAAAAGGATCAAAGGAAAGATAAACGTGAAGGACAGAGAACAGAGAGCCAATATAGGAGCAAACTGCTGAACAAAGAACCAACAAATGGATAAGAAGTGAGAGAAGGTATGGATGTCAATGTCTGATGCTCATCACATACCAGAAAAAGCCAACAGATAACTGTTGGCTCCAAGATACACTCGACTGAAGTTACTGCATGTCAAGGACAAACATGAAATCACAAGTACTAGGGCCAATGAGCAGATCATCTACAAAAAAGGAAGAAAAATCTGTCTGGACTCAGCTCTCTCTGAACCACCAGACACTAGAAGACAATAGAGTGATGTCTCTAAAGAATCGAGGGGAAAAAAGACATGATCCAAGAATCTGATAGCCAGCCAAGTTACTGTTCATAAAAGACGCCAATAGAAAGGCATCTAAAATGATGCGAGAACACTCAACGGAAGCTGTAATCCCGTCCACCGAAAGATAAAAGCAACAACTCTCGAATGTGGAGTCTTTGTACGAGAGGGCTGGCAGTGAGCACTGCCTTCATTCAAACACAGAATTAAGCCTAAATAACTCCAGTAATTACCTACAGTTAGACACTTTCAAATCACCTGTCTTTCTAGGTAAAAGCTGCCAAATCCATTCGATGATCTCTTAACTCTGCAAAATGACAACGCACAAAAGAGAACCTCTCCCAAATGTAATTCTCTGACACTAAAGAAAATTTTTGGTTTCTGTCTTACCCTTGAGGGTTAATATACTCAGGTAATTTCTCAAAAGAGATCATGCTAATTACCTGGGGCAGTGCTGATGAGCACAGGCCAAGGGCCAAGAAGACCCAGCTGCTAGCTTTGGTTCTTCCCTGCCACTGTGACGAACCACTGAACTGCTTTGGAACTTATATGAAAAACCGAGATAATACCTGCATGGTTCAGCGCACAGCAGCAAAAGGATCAAATGGGATGCTGTACGTCAAAGTTCTTTGGAATCTGTAAGCAAGGGTATAAAACCATGTTACCTGATTGGATGGAAAGAACCTACTATATTAAAGAGTCAAAATCAGTCATTCAGAGACAAAGAAAGGATCAGATGGCTCCCATGAATCCATCCCTAAGTCCATCCTTTCATGTCTCTCCATTTTCAAGTTATCTCTTAACACTTTTATAAAAAGGAAATTCTGTACTTTCACAGCTCCTGACCAGAATTATTTTTAATTTGAAAACAAAGATAGTTTAAGAACTAAGAAAGATGCTGCCCACCATCCAAGGTAAATGTCTGTCCACTTCCATTCACTGACTCAGCTAATAGTCATTAAATCACCAACTATGTGCCAGACCCTGCTTCAAAAAGCAGATGCTTGAAATTGAGGAAATGACAGGGAAGTACAGGGGAATTGGGAGAACTAAACAAATTTAGCTGAAAAACGGTTAATGTCTATGTATATTACAACATGTAGAAAGGTGACCAGATACCTAGAGACAAAGCACAGCAAACAGAAAGGAGAAATGAATACTTAGGGTGGCTGAACTGTGTGAATGCAAGATGTTCCTGAAACTCTTCTTATGGTTGCTTTGGAACCAAAGTTAATTTCTTAATTCAGAAAACAAAGACACAATTAAAAAAAGAAAAAGAAAACCAAGACAGAAGAGGCAAGACTGTCCTGGAGTCAAGACGGTTAAGCCAGAACGTACATCAGCAAAGGACTATCAATGAAGTCATTAAAACACTGAAAGACATCTTCAGTTTCAAAAAAGACCTGAAAAGAGAGGAATGTGATCCCCTCCAGTGTATCACACATAGAAGTGTAAAGGGCTGTGGCTGGAAAGGGAGGCCAAGGAAGAGGCTGAGAGACGAGCTGACATTCATAGGAAAGCTGGGGTCTTTAAACTCGAAGGCCATTTTTTTAACATCTTTATATCACATGGAACAGCCCCATTCCCAAGACACTGACTCGACCTTCAAAAAACAGGCCTCGATGCAGACCATCTCATTACTTGTATGTTGGAAGTAACGCTGGTCTTTTTCTTACCTGACTAGATTATGAGTTGCTTGATGAGAGCCTTCTAAGGATGGAGGAGATGAGGTTTTCCGAAAGACAAAGGAATCACCGTGAGCTCAGGTAATGTAATGAAAGAGTATTAGCTTCAGCGGAACAAAGAGAACAGAGCTGTCCTCCATGCACGTGCAGTGGGTCAGAACACGGCTCCATCCAGGGGAAAAGCCTACTGAGATGGCAGCGGCGAAAAGAGGGTTAGTACTGTCATATGTCTAGAGGAGGAGGAATACTTTATCAGTGACAGCTTTTAAATCAGTGGACTCAACACTTCACCACTGAATGGGAGAAACATTTATATGGATGTTAAAAGAGGGCAGAAGTCAAAGTAGATGATAAATATATGAAAAATATTAGTGAAGAGAAACACACCCTGCAAAGCTGTTTAAGTTGTGGATTTTAAATCCAGACTCTCAGATAGCTTGTGTTTCTAAGGGTAAACATGACACAATTCTAAAGCGGGCTAAACGTCATGAGAATATAAACAATGATGACCTGGGGCATGTTCCAAATAAACTAGAAAGAACTTTTCCCTTCGATGGCCTATTTTACACCTAGTAGAGTGCATCACACAGGGACTTAGAAAACTGCAAAGGAATATGATGTGACAAAAGGACCGTATTCAGTGGTAAAATTGTTACATGAGCATAAAAACTCCACTTCCCACTCTTTACAAACTTGATAATGACTTGAAGTTAGTTTTTCACTTAAGATCTTTGAAACCAAGCAGCTAAGTGAAAAATTCCAAGACAACTTTTGGAACACTTTAATCAACAGAATGGAAGTATACAAATGAATTTCAAAATGAAATCAATGCACCCAAGAGGGAGATCTAACATGAGAGTACCTACAGCTCACAATGAGAATCTGGTCAGATGGAAGAAGGCCAGAGTCCAAAGCAGAGAGTGAAGAGAGATGCGTAAGAGAGAGGAAGGGCTCTGGGACCAAAATATCAAGACGTGCTCATCTGATGTCTTCAAATTCCAGACTCCCCAAGGCCTTAGTTGGTGGTTTGGGACAAACATGGTATTTGGTTACAAAGAGCAGCAGTAGAGATTGGCTGTATCTGGAATGGTGAGGGAGGTGGGACATCTGGGGAGACTGTAGACAATCTATGATAAAGAAGACGGAGGTATGAGGGCACAGGCACTAATAAGGCTCTGTGTCCCCTTACGACAGGCGCCAACCAAACCACAGCAATGTACTATGAAAAATGACTCAAGTTACTACTTTAGTGGAAGATATGAAGTAGCTACAGGAAACTTCCGTGGAAAAAGTCCAGCTTATATGGAGAAAAATACACATTCAAGCACTGGATTATCTATAGCGCCACATTCAGAATTGGTGGAGGAACGGAGCTCTTTCCGGGTGACTTGCAGAAGGCCATCTTTTCTCCATGGAGAGGACTGAAGCATTCAGTTCTTTACAAAGTTCTGTTAGTCTTCATCTTGTCCCTACAAAGAAAATAATGGGGACAGCCCCAGTGAGTTTATGAGGACAACCTTCTCTATTGTAACTGAGATGTACTCAGAACATTTAGTTACAGTGACAATTCAAAAACCCGTGTCTTATCTCAGAATTATTCTCTATAGTTACTACAGAAAAAGAATTGGCACTTAATGACATATACACTAAAGCAGTTCTTTCCTCTCAGTGAAAAATCTGCTTAGAAATGAGGAACCACTGCAGATGGGCCTGGGGTTCCTTTGGGGGATGGTGAATATGGTCTAAAATCAGACAGTGGTGAGGAACACACCACCCTGGGAATTTACTAAAAAACACTGAGTTGTATGCTTTCAAAGAAGACTTTTACGGTATGTGAATTAAATCTCAATAAAGTTATACTTCAAAATCTGCTTAGAAAATAAATTTTCTTAGCATTTTTTGTTCACCTAATGAATTTACTATAACTACTAAATACTTCCCCAAGGTTGCCACCAATTATCCTATTTCTGTTAAGTGAACAATTTTCAGCGTCAGAGTAGCCATTTTAGAATCTTAAAAACTGCTTTCTGCTAACATTTGTTTGCCTAATAAGATATCAGAAATGAAGACTCAGGGACTTCCTTGGTGGTCCAATGGTTAAGACTCTGTGCTCTCAATGCAGGGGGCGTGGGTTTGATCCCTAGTCAGGGAACTAAGATGTTGCATGCTGCCCAGCATGATCAATAAATAAATAAATAAAATTTCCCCTAAATAATAATATATCATCCTTTATAAAAAAGAAATTAGGACTCATACTTGATTACAGTATACAACCTGCTAAACTATTTAAACAGGCTTTAAAACAATATTCAACTAAAGCCATCTTTTTACAAACCAACTGGACCTTAATGTTCATAAAGGCCGTTTTCTGTGCTACCCAAATAATTCCCCCTACCAGAGCCATCGCTGGAATTAACCGCTCATACTGATGCCCAATATACTACTTGACTTACACGAACTGAAAATGGAATCAAGGGAATTTGAGCCAGGTGTTTCAAGCTGATTTAGCTTAACCTTGGCCAGGTATGGTGTGTATATGTGTGTACACACACCTGTGTGCACGCTCACACTCACGTGCACAAAACAAACTCCTCTAAATTTCATCATTTGAGGTGAGTGACCAATGCAGCAACACTGCACAGAGGCCCATCACAATACTTCCAGAGGAAAAAAAGTAGCAATATAAATAACCTTTTACATCCTTCATCGGAAAAGACCAATGCTACTATAATGGTACAAAGTCACAAAGCTATATAAACTCTATTTGCCTACAAATACCTGTTGCACTGTGTTAGGAATCAAGGTTTTCAGGGTAAGAGGAAATATATACAATTAAAATAGATTAGGGAGGAATATTACAATGTCAAGAGAGAATTAAAAATCAACATGAAATTATATATCTTAAATCATGTTTTATAGGTCTGTCCAGAAAAGAATACTAAAAAAGATGTCATGTATACCTCCAGCTCCCAGATTAGGGTCTCTAATACCCACTAAAAGTAAACAGGAGTCTTAGTATGAGATGAACTTAGGACATCCTCTTGGGCCAGAAAGCAAGGAAACTTTCAAAGACCAACAGGATTTCACCAATGGAACATAAAGGATCTGGCTTGAAATAGCTTCCAATGGCCAAAGGTGTGCCAATTTTAGCATCAAAAAGATGGTCACTACATGCAGTGACAGGGTGAACCTCACAGAGAAGACGGCCAGACACAAAAAGAGCATGCACTGTATGTTCCATTTATTTTAAATTCAAGAAGAGGAGAGAGTCAGATATAGTGATAGGTGATAGAGTTGGAGTAATGGTTACATGGTGGGGAGGGAAAAAGGAGAAGAGTGTGACTAGAAAGTGGCCTTTTCAGGTCCTGGAGATACAGATGTAAAAATTCATCATGTTACAAACTTTATATCTGTACACTTTTTATGTATATGTTAAATACTGACCAAAATACACCAACAAAGCAATAAAAATCTACAACATCCATAAAACTACTTAAAAAAAAGGAAGGCTGAAACTCACCCATCACCATTTAAGGTGGTTTCTAACTCAACATCATCCTGGAAAATTTGCAATTTAAAAGAAAGATTTAAATGCCTATCCTGCCTTGCCAGGAGGAACTATACTTCAGAAGGTACCTAAATGACCTTAATTGATGAGGAAAAACTTGATAGGAGAATGTCAGCTAAATGTCAAAGGAATGACACTAACAAAAAACTCTTCATTTTATAAACATTAACAAAATTACTGATTCAGGCCAAGTTTTTCAACTAGTCTTAATAACCCCTAAGTGATGGTTGTATGGTGCCAAAGTAACACTACGCAGATCACTTTCTGATTAAGACAGGAAAATTAACCACATCGTGGAGGGACCAGACAGTCACCATCTGAATTATGGGCAGCCTTAACATTACTAACACTGGATCAACCGAACTGCATGGGTCTCAGAGTGTAATTCTGCATCCATATTTATGAAATATTCTAGCAAAAAAAAAAATACTCCAATGAGCCTTCAGCTTCCAGTTTACAGGAGAGCCAGGGTTTCAAAGAAAAAAAATCAAACAAATCAAGGTGGGACATTTTTGCAGGACAATGGGTATAGTCTTTCAATAACAAAAAATTGTTCTACATTCAAATCTAGAGACCTACTCAGATGTGTTATGTGGTACTAGAATCAATCTGTCTTTGGGACAAATCAGGGGAAATTTCATGATGAAAATATAATGACATGTAAAGATGGAGATGGTTAAATGAAATAAAACTAGGCTGCACAACAGTATGAAAAGTATGATCTCATTGGGGAAAAAATACATATACATATATACATACAAATAGCAAAACACCTGGAAGGACAGAGATAAAGCTCTAAGAATGGTAATCTCTGGGTTATGAGAATACAAGAGTTTCTCTTTTTTTGCCTATTTGTATTTTTTAACAGTGTACATATACTACTTTTTGATTACTAAAACATTACTTTAAATTAAACAAATAAGCAGAACCCTTACTGTTGCTAGTAGAGTTGGAGTTTAAAGGTCGTCAGAAGAAAGAAAACTGGAAACCAAAGACTGGATTATTTATTGTCGTTATTACCACAAAGTATTAAAACTTGTTATTCTGTGATTGATCATTTTCTTCACTTTTTTTATTGTGGTAATCTATATGTAAAGTTTACCCTCTGGTTAAGATGGAAAAAAAATATTTTATTAAGTGTACAGCTCAGCAGCATTCAGTACACTTACAGTGTTGTACCACCATCCATCTCCAGAACTTTTGCATCTTTCTCCAATGAAACTCTGTCCTCATTAAACACTAAATTTGCTTTTCCCTTACTCCCCAACCATGGCAACCACCGTTCTCCTTTCTTCAGGTGCCTTACATAAGTTGAAGCATACAGTATCTGTCCTTTGGGGTCTGGATTATCTCACCATAATGACTTCAAGGTTTATCTATACTGTAGCATGTCACAACTTTATTCCTTTTAAGGGCTGAATAATAATAATTGGTTATATGGATAAACCCACTGTTTACCTTGATTGATAATTTTTTTTTATTTTTCTGGTTTCAATACATCTATAGACTTTCTCTAAATATTCTTCTGTCAATTCTATGGATGATGACAAACTGAATTACTTTTTAAATAAGATTCGTGGCAAGATACAGACCCTGCTTACTGCTTTTAAAATACCTACATAGGGCAAGGACTCCTAGAACATCAGGTCCTCTACTGAAATGGCTACTCTGGTGACCCAGTTCTTGCTATCCTTCCTGTCTGGGGTGAAAAAATACTCCCATCTTTCTTTAAGGATCACTTTGCTTTTCCAGTGGCAAAAACACAAAGATGTGGCTGAAAATATCAATCGTCTGGCTGGTAGACTCTGAGGAAAAATCAGATATTTTGTAATAGAAAGAAAAGTAATCAATTACTGTTTTGCCTTGTATTTGGAAGCATCCCGGGGCTCACTGCTGGGATTGCTCCAATCGTCAGCTTCAGCTGTGCTCTTGTAATGGCGCCATGCGGACTTGTTAAAAACCGGAAGTCTCTCAAATGATTCGCTTGAAAGAGCCTAAGGAGAGAAACAAAGATGTATTAAAGGTCTACAGTGTCATCTTGCTCATGTGAAATACTAACTCAAATTCTACTATACAAAGCATCAGAAACCTTAATGTGGAGGTATACTAAAGTTACATTTTAGCATTTTACTTAGACTGGACAGGTTGAAATTAAAGCTTTTTTTAAAGGAATAAAAACATTCACTCATGAAAAACCAGTAAACATGACGAGAACAAAAATCATCTTCGTTCAGTTAATACTGATAAAGATATCCAATCGTCTTAGACCAAACACTATTGTCCACTGGGTAAATGCTCTCCCAGAGGGCCCTGAAGAAATAAAGTTTCACAGTAGATTTATAAATATAAGCTCATAAAGTGATATCAAATAGCATATCATTTCTATGTATTGGCATATAAGATAAACACTCCAAATAAAGGGTTATTTTATGATATAACATATAAAACACTACACAGCTGTTAAAGGGATGAGCCATGGAGAAGGAAATGGCAACCCACTCCAGTATTCTTGCCTGGAGAATCCCATGGACAGAGGAGCCTGGCGGGATACAGACCATGGGGTTGCAAAGAGTCTGACATGACTAAGCAAATAAGACTTTCACTTCTGTAATGTATTATATTACATTAAAAATATAATCTCTGTGGTCATCATTTATATTACCCAAAGATAAATTTCTACTTTCCTTTCATAAAAAGGGACAAATTGTCTACATTACTTAATAGAAAAAAAAGTATGCAAAAAAAAAAAAAAAAAAAGGATGAGCCAGTTCTATGTGAACTGATATGGCAGTATCTCCAAGATATATTGGAAAGTAAAAAGAAGCAAAGTGCTAAAATAATCACTGGTGTGAAAAAAATTACATTATCTCTCCATATGTTTATCAATACAGAATCAACTTCTAAGAGGATTCACATGAAACTGGTACCCATGGTCACCCCAGAAAAGAGAACCCAGTGGCTCTGGGCCAGTAATGGGAGACAGTTTTCCCTTTCACAGCTTTAAAATTTCATACAATGTGCCCCTATAACATAATCAAAAAGTACTCCAAATATTCTAGAGTTTCAGTTCAGTTGCTCAGTCGTGTCCAACTCTTTGTGACCCCATGGACTGCAGCACGCCAAGCTTTCATGTCCATCACCAACTCCCGGAGCTTGCTCAAACTCATGTCCATTGAGTCAGTGATGCCATCTAACCATCTCATCCTCTGTTGTCCCCTTCTCCTTCTGCCTTCAATCTTTCCCAGCAACAGGGTCTTTTTAAATGAGTCAGTTCTTCACATCAGGTGGCCAAAGTATTGGAGTTTCAGCTTCAGCATCAGTCCTTCCACTGAATATTCAGGACTGATTTCCTTTAGGCTGGACTGGTTGGATCTCCTTGCAGTCCAAGGGACTCTCAAGAGTCTTCTTCAACACCACAGTTCAAAAGAATCAATTATTTGGCGCTCAGCTTTCTTTACAGTCCAACTCTCACATCCATACATGACTAACGGAAAAACCATAGCCTTGACTAGATGGACCTTTGTTGGCAAAGTAACGTCTCTGCTTTTTAATATGTTGTCTAGGTTGGTCATAACTTTCCTTCCAAGGAGCAAGTGTCTTTAAATTTCATGGCTGTAGTCACCTTTGTAGTGATTTTGAAGTGAAAGAAAATAAAGTCTGTCACTGTTTCCATTGCTTCCCCATCTATTTGCCATGAAGAGATGGGACCAGATGTCATGATCTTTGTTTCTTGAATGTTGAGTTTTATGCCAGCTTGTTCACTCTCCTCTTTCACGTTCATCTAGAGGCTCTTTAGTTCCTCTTCACTTTCTGCCATAAGGGTGGTGTCATCTGCATATCTGAGGTTATTGATATTTCTCCCAGCAATCTTGATTCCAGCTTGTGCTTCATCCAGCCCGGCATTTCTCATGATGTACTCTGCATATAAGTTAAATAAGCAGGGTGACAATATACAGCCTTGACGTACCCCTCTCCCGATTTGGAACCAGTCTGTTGATCCATGTCCAATTCTAACTGTTGCTTCCTGACCTGCATACAGATTTCTCAAGAGGCAGATCAGGTGGTCTGGTATGCCCATCTCTTTCAGAATTTTCCACAGTTTGTTGTGATATTCCAGAGTTTAGAAGTAAATAAAAGCTTGATACCACCACTGAATGAGAAAACTTATATTACAGAGAACTTTGTTATCTGATCAGACTTTTAGGTAAACACATTATAAGCACTGAAATCTTGCAACATTAAGCCAGCAAGTTTCTAAAATAAAAGACTTCAGTTTATGAAAATCTGTCTTTTAAATGAGTCCTTTTAATGGATATGCAAATTTTTTAAAAATCACAACTTAGAATTAAGGTTTTTAAAAATCAGTATTTAAATTTTCATATCTCTATATTTCCTATTTTGCTCTGAGCATAAAATCAAGGGTAGATCATAACTTGGTTTTCACGTAAAAGTGAAGTAAATCCTAGTTGACTATAAGGATTCATATATATATATATATAATCATATATATATGATTATTCATATATTCATATATATAATATGAGATGATGATTCAGTGCTAAACTGCTTTAGTTATTAGACATCTAGGTTGCTCTCATGTCCTGGCTATTATAAACAGTGCTGCAATGAACACTGGGGTGCTTTAGTTATTAGAACTTAACAGCTTTAAAAAGTAAAGATGCTTTCCTGTAACAGAAATAAAATGCAGTACCTTTAAATAAATGACAGCATCAGTACCCACGCCTTCCATAGAATAGAGTTTTAGATCTCCTTGAAAATATCTAGCATACAGACGAGAAATTGGCAAGCCATAACCAAATCCAGCCTATTGAGAAAAGAAAATACACTGAGAAAGGCACAAAATGCTAACACGTTGAGTCTGAGGACCATCTGAAAGATAAGAATCAATTCTTGATTCATATTTAAAGCAAATACATTGACCCAACCCATACTATGACGTACATAGACTCATCTATGGCAAACAATCTATTTTCATCCTCCAAAAATATTTTTCACATGTTTGGAAAAGAAAAGAAACACTCCTGTTTTGCTAATGCTTTTTTTTAACATCACAAATAATGCTTTTAATTATTTAGCTTCTTATAGTACTCACATAACAGAAGCTGACAAATCCATGTTGTCGTTATTTAGTCACTAAGTCAAGTCTAACTCTCTTGCAATCCCATGGACTATAGCCCGTCAAGCTCCTCTGTCCATGGGATTTCCCAGGTAAGAATACTGTAGTGAGTGGGTTGCAATTCCTTCTCCCAGGAGACTAATGCTTTTTGAATGTTTTAAAGCAATTATTTAGCATTGTTTAAAAACAAATCCCAAATCAAGTGGAATTTGAACTGGAAAGTCAACTAAACCACATCATTCCAGAGTTCTATTAACTGATTTCTTTGCTCTTTATAGTGAACATTCAATTGAGTAGCACAGGAGTTGAAACCTACCAGTACCAAGGCTAACACAATGAAAAGAAAGTGATCTCCTAAGGGCTACTTTCTAAAGTTGTGGGAACACTACAGTATTTTGACATGTGGTCGTCCATATACTTTTAGAGACAAGAAAGCAATGCCAGTACCCTCCTGTATCTCTGTGTCATAGAACCCTGACTGTAACAGGTTGTTGAGGGGGGGGAAGAGTCTCTGATATTGACAAGAATAAGAACAATTGAGTCTAATTTCAAAAACTCTGGGTTGGAGAGGAAGGGGCTGTTCCTCAAGCTTTGCCCCTCTGATTAAGTCCACCAACAGGTTAGTGAAGGAGGCAGTGGGCAAACACACAACAGTGGTTGGGTGGGCTTTAGGATCAGACAGGTGAAATCCACTTTTTGTGCAACTAGCAGTTTGCTCAACCTAAGACTGTTTTCTCATCCGAAAAATGTAATAAAAAGCTTACCTAAGAGCTGTTGTAAGAATTAAATGATATAAGGAGTGTAAAGTCTTGGGATAGTGTCTAAGACACAGCAGAATGAAAGAAATGCAAGCTGCTATGACGGCTACCACACAGCAGTAATTTTACTAAGTTCTGCAGCTTTCAACTGCTTTCTTACAGCTTTCCTAGATTCCCTCCTTGGGGTTAGGGCCTAACTCAAGGGTTGGGTGTGATAGAGTGCACCATCATGGAAGGGCTGCAGGACAGGCAGAACATGGCCAGGAGCAAAGACAAGACAGCCGAAATGGTGACTGAGGTCACCACAGCAAAGAAATCAGCGGACTCTGGAAGAGGCTGAGGAAACCTGCCTCCTCCAGTCCAGCAAGGCCCGGAGCCGGCTCCCAGGGAACAGCTGAAAACACCTGAGCCCGATGCAGTCATAAGTGTGAGGAGATGGGGCACCCCAGGGTCCCATGGAATGCAAAGGAGGGGCCTCTACCTCAGATTTGGTCAGGTTCTGGAAAGTTTTCCCAGGGTGTCAAAGGATCAATAGGAGTTGGCTGGGATGACATTTCCGAAAAAGAAATGCGTGTGTCACAGCACAGGGCTGTAACACAGTAAGGTATTTGATGATGAAATTACATTTCCTAGTAGTACATACCCACATGCCTGCTTACAGGCTGAGAAGAGCTAACTGGGAGACATGCTAGTGGAAGCATTTCTTCAAAAGTAGAGCCACACAGCACACTGGAAAGAATGCAGACAGATATGGCCAGTGCTGGCTTGACCATCATGAGCTCAATGACCTTGGGCAAACAGGTCACCTCATTTCCTCATCTATAATATGTGAGGTTGGATGCACACTTTTTAAAACTCTTACTTCAATGGCTCAGTTTCATGAAAAAAAAAAATGATATCACAACTGTCCTCAAGATGCTATTTTGAGACCTGGAAGAGATGATCCATATTCCTTTTAAAAACTGGTGAAGGCTCTAGATTTGCTTGTGGCATTTTGTTTTCCTTTTGACATTTGTTTAAGTAGGTACCAGAAACTAGTCAAGGTGATGGGTTTCGAAACTGATCTCTCAAATATTTTCTTGAATCCTATATAAACGACTTCCTCTCTGTTTTCAATATGCTGTGTTAACAAACTCTGTCTTGAATAAATGATGCTAAGTGCTGGATTTTATTCATACAAATAAAACATAATCTTATGTGCTTATCAGGCAGGTAAGACTTGAAAATGAAAATGTACACCCTGAACTATTTCGCAGAATGATAGCTATGTTGCTGTGTTTAATGACAAAGGGTTCAATTGTTGTTTGTCAATTAGAAACACTCAGCGGGGGAAGAAAGTGTGGCCCTACCAGGATCTAAATGCTGCCATGGTAACCAGAGGCTTTCCTCACTGCCTTAATAGAGCTGAAGATTATTTCCACAGTGAGACAGAAAAGGCTCTGAAAATGCATATACAACCTATATGTTTCCTGCTTATGGTATTTCCTGTAAAAAATGTAATGTGTTCATAATTTAACATTTAATTATATAAACAAATTTGGCGGGGGAAGTTCAAAGGCCCTGGCTGATCCAAGCCTCAGAGGTATGCAGTGCCCAGGGCCTGCTGCAGCCAGACATATGGTGCTGTTCCCCGTTCACCTGCTATTAAACTTCCACCCCCACCAAGGGGAACGCCAGGTGGTAAATGGTGCTCTGGCAGCAGTCTTAACCATGATGCTTTTCTCTCCATTGGGAAGGTAGGCACTCAGCTCTGAGTGTTTTTTACACACAAATTAGAGAAGAAATCTGAGGCCAAAAGAGTCATAAAGAAAGTAGCAGTAGCATAAAACTCCCCCACCTTCAAACCAGGTGGAAAACATTCAAATTCAACAAGGCTAACGCAACACCCTGGGGAAACAGCCCGCCCTGTCCCTTCTCGTGTTAATGGTCCTTCCTCCAGCAACAGCCTGAGAGGCTTACCAACGGGGCGGCTCGGGTAGGCTCCAGGCTAGGTCTCGGAGCAGTTGAATACATGTAGTTAAAAAGGCGATCTATTTTTCGGAGTGGAACCCCACCACCTAGGTCACTTATCTGTAATGTACAAAAACATTAAAAGAAGAAAAAGTCATCATCAATATACTTAGCAGGTGGCAAGGAGTTCATTACATAAAGTACATGCCAGATTACTCTAAACTGTGCAAGGGCTTCAACCCCCAAAGAAATATGGTCTCCTTGTGAATAGTATAAAACAAAGGAGGCGGGCAACTGGGGTCAGCATCCAACAGACTTGGGTTTGAGATCTTGATCAGCTCCATAAAAATGGGGTTCTAATGAAGTTAAACAAGGTAACTTAAGCCAAGGATCTAATGTAGTACTTACAAATAAAAACTCCCAAACTCATTCTACAAGGCCACCATCCTCCTGATACCAAAACCACAGGCCAATATCAATGATGAACATAGATGCAAAAATTCTCAACAAAATTCTAACAAACAGAATCCAATAACACATTAAAAGGATCATATATCATGATCACATGGGTTTTATTCCAGGGATGCAAGGATTCTTCAATGTTTGTGAATCAATCAATGTGATATACAATATTAATAAACTGAAATATGAAAACCATATGATCATCTCAGTAAATGCAGAGAAACTCTTTGATAAAATTCAATACTCATTTATGATAAAAACTCTCCAGAAAGGAGGCATAGAAGGAATCTATCTCAACATAATGGGCTTCCATGGTACCTCAGATGGTAAAGAATATGCCTGTAATGCAGGAGACCTGGGTTCGATCCCTGGGTTGAGAAAATCCCCCGGAGGCGGCCATGGCAACCCACTCCAGTATTCTTGCCTGGAGAATCCCCATGGACAGAGGAGCCTGGTGGGCTACAGTCCATGGAGTCAGAAAGAGTTGGACACGACTGAATGACTAAGCACAGCACAGTACATCTCAACACAATAAAAGCCATATATGACAAACCCACAGCAAACATTTCTCTCAATGGTAAAAAAACTGAGAGCATCTCCTTTAAGATCAGGAACAAGACAAGGGTGCCCACTATTATTCAACACAGTTTTGTAAGTCCTAACCATGGCAAGCAGAGAAGAAAAAGAAAAGGAATCCAGATCGAAAAAGGAGAAGTAAAACTCTCACTGTTTGCAGATGACATGATACCATACATAGAAAACCCTAAAGATGCCACCAGAAAATTACCAGAGGTAATCAATTAATATAGTAAACTCACAGGATATAAAATTAATACACAGATCATTTCTATTCCTATCAGCTAACAATGAAAAATTGGAAAGAGAAATTAAGGAAACAACTCCATTCACCACTGTAGCAAAAAGAATAAAATACTTAGGAGTAAACCTAAAGAGATAAAAGACCTGTATGCAGAAAACCATAAGACACAGATGAAAGAAATCAAAGATGACACAAACAGACAGAGAGATATACCATGTTCTTGAATTGGAAGAAACAATACTGTGAAAATGACTATACTACCCAAAGCAATCTACAGATTCAATGCAATTCCTATGAAACTCCAATGGTATTTTTCAAAGAACTAGAACAAAAATATTTCACAATTCATACGGAAACACAAAAGACCCTGAATAGCCAAAGCAATCTTGAAGAAAGGAAAATGGCACTGGAGGAATCAACTTTCCAGACTATACCACAAAGCTAGTCATCAAAACAGTACAGTACTGGCACAGAAACAGAAATACAAACCAATGGAACAAGACGCAAAGTCTAGAGAGAAACCCGCATGCCTATGGGCACCTTATCTTTGACAAAGGAGACAAGAATACACGATGGAGAAAAGACGGTCTCTTCAGTAATTGCCGCTGGGAAAACTGGACCCCTACATGGAAAAGAATGAAACTAGAACACTTCCTAACACCATACAAAAAATACACTCGAAATGGATTCAAGACTTAAATATACGGCCAGAAACTGTAAAGCTCTTAGAGGAAAACACAGCAAGATTTGACATAAATCACAGCAAGATCCTCTTTGACCCAGCTCCGAGAATAAAAATAAACAAATGGGACCTCATGAAACTTAGAACCTTTTGCTCAGCAAAGAAAACAATAAACAAGATTAAAAGACAACCCTCAGAGTGGGAGAAAATAATTTCAAACAAAACAACTGACAAAGAACTAATCTCCAAAATATATAAGCAGCTCGTACAGCTCAATATCTGAAAAACAAAGAGCTTAACCAAAAAACTGGCAGAAACAGCAAAGGAAAACTACAAACAAGGTGAAAGGACAACCCTCAGAATGGGAGAAAATAGCAGCAAATGAAACAACTGACAAAGAATTAACTTCCAAAACATACAAGCAGCTCATACAACTCAATACCAGAAAAACAGCCCAATCAAAAAGTGGTGAAAAGACCTAAAAAGACATTTCTCCAAAGAAGATATACTGATGGCTAGCAAACACATGAAAAGATGCTCAACATCACTCATTATTAGGGAAATGCAAATCAAAACTACAATGAGATACCACCTCACACCAGTCAGAATAGCCATCATCAAAAAGTCTACAAACAATAAATGCTGGAGAGGGTGTGGAGAAAAGGGAACCCTCTTGCATTGCTGGTGGGAATATAAACTGATACAGTCACTATGGAAGACAGTATGGAGCTTCCTTAAAAAGCTAGGAATAAAGTGAAAGAGGAGAGTGAAAAAGTTGGCTTAAAACTCAACATTCAGAACACCAAGATCATGGTGGCAAATAGATGGGGAAACAATGGAAACAGTGAGAGACTTCAACTATGGGGGCACCAAAATCACTGCAGATGGTGACTGTAGCCATGAAATCAAAAGACACTTGCTCCTCAGAAGAAAAGCTATGACCAACCTAGACGGCATATTAAAAAGCAGAAACATTACTTTGCCAACAAAGGTCCATCTAGTGAAAGCTATGGTTTTTCCAGTAGTCACATATGGATGTGAGAGTTGGACTATAAAGAAAGCTGAGTGCTGAATAACTGATGCTTTTGAACTGTGGTGTTGGAGAAGACTCTTGAGAGTCCCTTGGACTGCAAGGAGATCACACCAGTCTATTCTAAAGGAAATCAGTCTTGAATATTCATTGGAAGGACTGATGCTGAAGCTGAAACCCCAATACTTTGGCCACCTGATGCGAAAACCTAGAGCCTATTATACAGAGTGAAGTAAGTCAGAAAAGAAATATAAATATCACATACTGACACATATATATGGAATCTAAAAAAATGGTACTGATGAATTTATTGTCAGGGAAGCAATGAAGAAACAGACATAGAGAACAGACCTATGGACACAGGGAAGGGAAGGAGGGAGAGGATGAGATGTACGGACAGAGGAACATGAAAACTTACAATACCATGTGTAAAATAGATAGCCAATGGCAATTTGCTGTATGACTCGGAACTCAAACAGGGGCTCTGTGACAGTCTAGAAGGGTGGGGTATGAAGGCAGATGGGAGGGAACTTCAGGAGGAAGGGGACATTGGTGTACCTATGGCTGATTCTTGCTGATGTATGACAGAAAACCACAAAATTCTGTAAAGCAACTATCCTTCAATTAAAAAAAAAATGGGCAGAAGACCTAAACAGATTACTCCAAACAGGACATATAAATGGCCAATAGACACATGAAAAGATGCTCAATATCACTAATTATTAGAGAAATGTAAATGAAAACTACAATGAGATTATCATCTCACACCAGTCAGAATGGCCATCATCAAACAATAAATGTTGGAGATGTGGAGAAAAGCCCTATTGCACTGATGGTGAGAATGTAAGTTGATACAGCCAGTATGGAGAACAGTGTGAAGACTCCTTAAAAAACTAGGAAATATAACTACCATATGAACCAGAAATCCCACTGCTGGGCATATACCCTGAGAAAACCGTTACAGAAAAAGACCCATGTACTCTAATGTTCATAGCGGCACTATTTGCAATAGCCAGTACATGGAAGCAACCTAGATGTCCATTGACAGATGAATGGATAAAGAAGATGTGGTACATATATACAACGGAATATTACTCAGCCATAAAAAAGACACTCAATGCCAGTTCTCTTTCCTTCCCTTTGATTCTTCAATGTCTACACACCATGAAGCTAACTGATATTCAAGTGTATGTACAAATAAAGCAGTTACCTTAATGGATAAGTCTTCTTTACCCAGAGTAACCAGGGTTTTAACAGCTGGGTAGCCCTCTTTTCTATCTTCATATAGTTCAACTGTTGCTCTCATTGAGTTCTGAAATCACAGAGCCGTTTTTTTTAGTGTGACACCAATTCACAAACTACTACTTTAAAGAAATTAGCAAAAATTTACCAATACACAACAATTCTTTTGTGGGGCAAATATTAGTTGGATTTCTATGGCACTTTTTTCTCCCTCTAAAGAACTAAACATGTGTTCAGATCAAGGAAAAATTTTCTGATGCTTTGTTGTTTCATCTCATTTCAGTCTCATCCACCTTACTAAATGCTTATTTTTCTTTCCTTCCTTTTTTTCTTTTTGTTTTTGCTTTAGGCTACTTAAATTATTCAACTTTTAACCAAGAGAGATGTTTTTATCACATGTAATGAGGGTGTAAATAAAGGCTCACTGACACACTTTAAATTCGATTATCAGTCTGCATTTACAGAGCACTCTTCCTCTAAAGAAGGTGGAAAACCTGAGAGGATTTGGCTTCCCACAAAAATAAATCATTTGGCTGGGGAAAAAAAGTCAAAGAAATGTCAAGTGAAAAGAAATTCTGAAAAAGCCACAGCTTTTGAAGAACAAGTTCACAATTGAATGCCCATTTCAACCTTAAGTGTCACATCAGTTACATTATAATTTGGGAAAGCAAATCAGCATAACTGATTTTTCTGGTGTTCAGTTTAGGGTTTTACACATTGGAAGAAATGGAATTTTACTCAAATGCCTTGTATTTGTATTGTAATACTGCTACTTACATGCCATTAGCTACAGGTTAATAAAAGCAACAGTTTAAGTTGTAGAGAGTCTCTTTTTTTTCTGTTTTTTTAATGTGTGTGGGGGGGGTTCTTTTTGGTCCAGCCCTTCCACATCTTTGCCCTCTGCCTCTATCAGAGCTTCTGAATTTTCTAAAATGTCTCAACTGTGTAAGGGTGTTAACATATCTTTCAGGACTGGAACAATTGCTAATGCATCAATATGGTTAACACTCAGAAACATAAAAGAGGTGTAAACATGTTTTTATTCTGATCTGGCTATCACTCATCAAGCTTTTGCCAGGTTGGAAACTAAAAAGCATCTCTAAGTTCATATCTAAAGAAAAAATAGTATGGATTTTACATAAAGTCAAAATGGTACAATTAAGCTTCAAAATCAAAATGTACCAATATTCACGAAAACTATAGTGTACACAGCAATTTTTCATCTCAGTGTACAAATTATAAAACCCACAGGATATCAGAAATAGAATTTTTAAAATGGTTATGCAAAACCTTTTTCTTATGCTAATCTAATGAATCCAATATGTCCTGAATCAAAGTAATTTAAAATGAAGACTTCTTTCCATATTTTCAAATTCCACTTACCTTGAACAACTCAAAGAGCATGTGAAAGAGGTGTGAGGGCACATAAACTACCTGAATAGGTTTGTTTGGAGCTTTGGCTGAAAACAGAGACAAAACCGTCAATGAGTAAGGACCAAGATTAGAAGAAAGTCAAGAATGTTGTTGCATTCTTACTTCCAAGTACATAAAAAAGAAAGCTACAAAAAGTTAATGGAGGCTTCCAACTTGAAAGGCGGGATGAAATTCTTCTCCTTCACTTACCAGCTATATGACCTCAGGCAAATTTTTCTCTTTGGAACTTAAGTTGAGCAAAACTGGAATATCATTACCTATGTCCTAATGCTCGGAGCATTACATAAGGGCGCCCAAACATCCCCTGCATGGTGCATGCTTAGTCACTCAGTCATGTTCGACTCTTGGCAACCCCACTGGGTGTAGCCGGCCAGGTTCCTCTGTCCATGGGATTTCCCAAGCAAGAATACTGGAGTAGGTTGCCATGCCCTCCTCCAGGGGATCTTCCCAACCCAAGGATTGAACCTGTGGTTCTTGTGTCTCCTGCATTGGCAGGCAGACTCTTTATCACTGAGTCGCCATGGAAGCCCTCAAGTATCTCTTGGTATTTCTCAAAATGGGGGCTACCCTCCACCACCACCAGTGACCCCAGTGGTCAGCCGGGGGATGTGAAACCACAGAGCAAAGGGGGCACATCCTCTTGGAGAAAAGGATGAAATAGGAACATTAAGTTCTGTTAAACTATGACAAACAAGGCATGCTACCAGCAGCTAGCAGACCAACCACCAGAGACCAAGAGTCCTTTCTCCTTGTGTCAGAGACGTTCTGAGGAAAATCTGTGAAACCCCGAATCCCAGCATAGGCTCGGGAGGAGATACTGGACAATTTAGGCTTTCCTCTTCCTCATGACCCGGAATCATTAACAGATCCACACTGCATAAACTTTCTCAAGTAGAAATGTTATGATTTCAACTTAACTACTTCCTCTACTAAAGCAAGTAAATAACAGTAATATAAAGGAGAGTGAGCATTTGTTTGCGTCTGAGCAGTTTACAAAGAGCTTGCAAATTCATTACTCAACTGAACTCTCGTGACGAGAGAAGTTGAGAAGTGCTTCCTTTATGTAAAAAGGTGAAAGTTCTCTACTTAATAAGGAAAGGGGAGAAAGAAATCTGTGCTATAATAGTTTTGCTGTCACACCTCAAATTGCAAAAGTATCACATGGCTGTAGAGTATGGTACATACTTAGTTAAATGTACTCTGTACATTTCTACATTTTGAGAAAGACCACATTCACATAACTTATATTGGAGTATATTGTTATAACTTTTATTATCAGTTATTGTTAATCTCTTTCTGTGCCTAATTTTAAGTTAAAATTTTATTATAGGTGTGGATGTATAGAAAAAAACAAAGTATATAAACAGGGTTTGGTGCCATCTGTGGCTTCAGGCATCCACTGAGGGTCCTGGAATGTATCCCCTGTGGAAAAGGTAGGACTACTATACTAATGATTTTTTAAATTTTTAAAAGAAGAAAAGTAAAAGTTGCTGCACCCTTTTCCCATCACTCTGCACACAGAGGCAGCTTCAATACTATGTATGATTCAGTCTTTCAGTTCATGTTTTTTCCATTCTATTCTGTAGCCCTAATGAACTCTTAGGTACTTTGTCTACAGGCTCTTTTTTAAAGGCTGTAATTAGAAAAGATGCAAGCACCCCTATGTTCACAGCAGCACTATTTACAGTAGCCAAGAAATGGAAACCTAAATGTCCATGAACAGATAATGAAGATATAGTACATACATCCAATGGAATGCTATTCAGCCAAAAAAAAGAATGCAACAATGCCATTTGCCACAACATGGATGCAACTAGAGATTGCATACTAGAGATTTTCATACTAAGTGAAGTCAGAGCAAGACAAATATCATATGCTATCACTGATTTGTGGACTCTAAAAAATGATATCAATGAACTTACTTACAAAACAGAAAGACTCACAGACATAGAAAACAAACTTATGATATATGCAATATGGAAAATAAAAAAGCAAACTTATGGTTACCAAAGGGGAAAGTGGGTAAGGAGGGATAAATTAGGAGTTTGGGATTAATATATACACACTACTATATATAAAACAGATAACCAACAAGTATCTACTCTACAGCACAGGGAGGTACGCTCATATTTTATAAAAAGCTATAATGGAAAATAATCTGAAAAAGAATATACACACATATATAACAGAATCAGTTGAAACTCACACAACATCAACTGTCTCAATAAAAATTTTTTAAAAAAAGTGGATTTCCTGTAAAAAGTATATATGTTGATAACATAACCAGATAAATATTGCTCACTTCAGCGTGGCAGCGTGGCCACAGGAATGTACCAGAATGACGGCTCCTTCCCTATAAGTCCAATGTGTCATGAGTCATGCATCATTGGAAGGAGAATGTTCTCAGGCTTAAGATGAAATGGATTCACTTTATCCACTTCCAACTGCTCAAAATCATGATACCTTTTTAGGTTGCCAAATGTTTGGACTGTGTATTTCTGATACAGCTTGATATATTTCCTAGAGTTTCTAACTCCTCCTCCTCTTGGGTAACTGGACAAGAGATGTAACAGACTGCTTTCTAAACATGCTGCACAGCCATCACTTCAACTGTTTTTGACTGAAGTTCTAGAATGTTGTCTGCTATTTCTTATATCTACATTATACACACCATTTGGTAAGTCACATAACCTACCTCAGAAAGCTATTCATGGGAGACACATTTCTCCATCTTTATACCTCTGATTCACTTGATTGGAGGTTTAACTAGGTACACCATTCGGGTTTGAAATCATTTTCTTTTGGCATTTAGAAAGGCAGGGGGGTCTTCTGATCAGGACAATGCAGCTGAGAAGTTCAATGCCAAGTCAGGTTTTCATGCATGCTTCTGGTACAAAGTCTGATTTACCTTGGTTGTAATATTCTTGCTGAAGAATGAGGAACTGGGTTATTCATTTGAGAGAGCTGGTGTTGACTTCCCCTGGCAGATTGCCACTAAGCGGGAAGGCTGACGAAGCTCTGAGTGCCTGGTCAAGACTTTTCCACTGGCTTTAGGATGAGCAGACACCCAGCCAGCCTCTGACTGGAGGTTCCCCCAAATGTCTGAATGGAGAGGGCTTTACTTTGGGAAAAGTTACACGAACAGCCCTAGTTTTTCCCAGGTTGTTCTGGAAGAAACTATTTTCATTGTTTGCCCCAGGGAAAATGCTAGTGGCTGTCAGCAGGAGAGCAGAGCCAGAGTCAAGCTGCTCCTGGTACCCATCCTTACCCCACCTTAGACCAGATCTCCATTTATCCCATCTTCTGATGTCCCAATCCAGTCCCTGGCCCCTCCCAGCTCTGCCCCCAGCACTCCCCCAGGACCATCAAGGACCGACTGATGAGTCCCCCTGGGTTCTCGGCTGTTTCTGTTTGTATTCCCTGTGGTCTTTTTAATGGAGCCCCAGGAACACGCTGAATACTTGGTCCCTCTTGTACCAGAAGGCATGATTAGTTATATAAATAGTCTTCTGAGGTCAACCTCTTCACTCCAAATCTCAGGGAAATTAAAATACTTTCGATAGCTTTTTTTTCAACCAGCATTCTGTAGGAGCCATCTGAGGGCTTGCTCAATTACTTGTACTTTTCTTCAAGAACATCATAGTTTAGATATCTTTCCTTCTTTTTTAAACCATGTCAAGTGTTTTGGTCCATAGCTCTTCCCTAATCCTGGGCCTAGCCAGGGGGGGCTTGACAGAGTGGACCCTTAATAGATGTTTGCGGGCTTTCTAAAATAAGGCATAAATGGAATATGAATTTTCATCTAAGGGAGCATTTCTAAAAATCAATGGAAAAAGTGGCCCAGATTTTTCACACTCAAGACTCAAGAAATAATGAAGTCTCTATTTGTATAGTCACTACTCCAAACATCATTAGTTAAAAAGACATTTAATAAATGCCAACAGAACTCTATGTTGGATATAAAGATTTTAATTTTCAGATAGTTCTCCTATAAGAATGAAAAAAAAATACTAAGCAGAAAAAAATTCATTTAGGAGAAACCTGATCTGTGATTGGTTGAACCCATGGATGCAGAATTGGATATAGAGGGCTGACTGTACTATGCCAATTCATATAAAAGACTTGAGCATCCATAGATTTTGGGATTCACAGGCAGTTGGGGAGAAGTCCTAGAACCAATCCTCTGTAGACACCAAGGAAGGGGTATATATTAATATGAATTCAATGCATTTGGGCCTCCAGCATTCCATTTCTATAATGGGCATAATACAAGGATGGAGGGTTGGGGGAATGGGTAGTGAGGGATGCACAGGTACACACAGCTATACTTAAAATGGATAACCAACAAGGACTTACTCTTAGCACAGGGAACTTTGCTCAACATTATGTGGCAGCCTGGATGAGAGGGGAATTTGGGAGAGAACAGATACATGTATATGTATGGCTGACTCCCTTTGCTGTTCACCTAAAACTATCACAACATTGTTAACCAGCTATATACCAACATAAAATTTAAAAGTTTTAAAGAAAATAAATAAAATTATTTCTCATATCTCACTGGGTTAATGTAAGGATTAAACGAAATGACAGTGATAAACTAGTTTACCCAGAACCTGCCACACAGTAAGCTATCAATAAATAAATGTTGGCTATTACCATTACTAAAAAATTAACTTCAACAGTGTCAACACAGCTACAGTAAGGGCTTTTTCAACTCTTGTGTAGAAGCATCTAACTAAAAATATCCACATAAGTATCCAATATGAGGAAACTAGACATAGGTCAAAGATCCCAGGATAGATGCATACTTTATGTGTATTTACATATAACATGAACGGAAATTTTTACTTTTCCAACAAAACCTAAAGCTATGAATCAACCTCTTGACAAGAGAGACTAACCCAGAAAAGGTGAAAAAAATGCCAGTGTGGTAACCAGAAGTCTCATCTTTCCCAAGTCAACCTTGACTTTCAGTAGCCAGCCTTTATGACATTTCTAGCACATGCTTATGCTCTATTTGAGGACTTAGAAAATTTATCCTTCCATCACCTCACAAGGAGAGCTCACAGCTGAGTGTCAGAGGTGAAGTGACTTGTCTCCTAAGTGTCAGGATACAGATTTCCACCCCCCGGGCTGGCTACAAACTCCATGTCTTTCCTCTCAGCCGTGCTGCTTTACCATATGAATGCAAAAAATGTAAGTAAAAAGGTTTCCTTACTTCATGTTTTGGCAGTTGCCAAAAGAGAAAGAGAACATGGAAACGAGAAAAAGCACAGTGGGATAGCCACCAGTCTTTGGAGCAACCACATGGGCTGCTGTGGGTAACTAACCAGTAATATTTGAAACCTGATGTAAGGTAAGTAAAAGTCTATTATTTTTAATGTTTCTTGAAATGTGTTACTAAAAGGAAAAAAAAGGAAGATTATCACAGCTAGTCCCCCCATATATAAAATGCTAGTGATGACTGTAAATACTGACGGTGTTCACACACTATGTTCTGCATAAGCCTATTTACTCCTTTCTCAGGGGGCTGCAATGGGCAAGGAAAAAAACCAAATAGTCAGAAAATGAGATGAGGGGTCAAACTAACAGAACTTAACATTCTCAGGTAGCAATAAATTGTTCTTTGAGGGTTAATGGCAGCCTTACTCCTCTGAAGTGCAGAGCAGAGGGCAGTGAGTGCCATCACTGACGATTGTTCAAGGGACCCGGTGGACCCAGCAGGGTTGGGAAATGGGAGCGTCCTGAAGAAGGTGCTATGCTAGTTCACACGGGCTCTGAAAATGAATCCACAAACTCTGGATCTGATTCCTAGCTGGGAAAGAGTCTGCTACAAAGCCCCAGGGTCTACTTAAGGTATTCATGACCAACCGCTGACCTGCTGTCTCTATGACGAAGCTTGTGAGAGCTCCAGTGCAGTCCTGAACTGCACTCGTGAAGAGCTTTGGCACTCAAGAAATAACAGGTAGAAATCCTAACTACACCACCCAAAGCCACAGGCAACTACAGGCTACCTGTAACCACCAGCATTCATTTCTCTTAGTGATGGCAGAAGGGGCTTCAAAAATCATGCATAAGATGGTGCCAAAAACGCTTGGAAAGCTTCTCTTTTGGTGGGGTGGACTGCCCAGAGAGACAGGGAAGGAATGCGCTGACCTGGTTGGCACCAGGCATCAGCAAGACCAAGCGAGTGAGGCTGGCACTCATGCCAATGAGCAATTAATTACTACCGGTGAGTGCAAGTTCCACGTCTGACGAATAGAAATCTAGACGGTGAGGTCAGGTTCCACCTAGCCAGTAGGGAGAAATAAAGTTGCTTCTCAGAAATATTCAAGCAAAATCTACTTGGTCCTAGAGGTACATTTCGGTAAAATAGGGGCGCAACTCTTTTCAGAGAACCCAACAGACTTGGCAAGCAGCTTTGATTCTCTATATCCCAGTAGAATATTAGGGCAGGGGTCCTGTCATGGCAGCCTGAAGTCTTCACATTTTGAACTCATTATAAGAGAAATAGATTTTTGGAATATTTTTGACAGTGAGTATTTTTGGTTTATCTTTAATGCAGAGCCTAAGAACCCATACCCTAAGACTCAGTCTCTCTGCTTCTAAGAATGTAACCCACAGAAATACTTCCATACATTCATATGTTTCCCCACTCTCCAAATACACACCCACACACACACACACCCCTTCATGCCCCATCATATGGAGCATGGGAAAATTAGAAATCCTAGATGCCCATCCAACAGAAAAATGATTACATAAATTAACCCACTCCAGTATCCTTGCCCGGAAAATCTCAAGGACAGAAGAGCCTGGTGGACTGCAGTCCATGGGGTCGCAAAGAGTCGGGCACAACTGGACAACTAACACTTACTTGACTAACACTTATACCATGGACAATCTCTAAAAGACAGAAATACATGCCAAGATCTTTAAGGTGAAGTGAAATACGTAAGTTAAAGAACATGTATGGTTTTAGACTCATTTATATAAAAAACAAAACTGTATTGGAGACAGAGTAGTGGAGACTTTTACTTCTTATTCTACATTTATGTTTGTATTTTTAAGATAAGCATGTCTCTTTCATAACTTACAAATAAAAAAATTAACATGTAAATATAGTTTCATACAACTAATATAAAAACTAGCTAAAATGCCACTATCCAGGGAGCTGCTACTTGCATTATGGTGGTATAAATCCTTTGACATATTATCCAATGAACCTGCATAATTGCAAACTTTTATAGCCTATGTTTACAACTTTTCTTAAACATTAAATATTCTATAAAGCATTATTCTGAATGGCTGCATAGTATTCTATCTTATGAGTGTACCAGAATTAATTTAATAACCTCTACTGTGGAAACCACTCCAATACTCTTGCCTGGAAAATCCCATGGACGGAGGAGCCTGGTCGGCTGCAGTCCATGGGGTCACTAAGAGTCGGACACGACTGAGCGACTTCACTTCCACTTTTCATTTTCATGCATTGGAGAAGGAAATGGCAGCCCACTCCAGTGTTCTTGCCTGGAGAATCCCAGGGACGGGGGAGCCTGGTGGGCTGCCGTCCAGGGGGTCACACAGAGTCGGACACGACTGAAGCGACTTAGCAGCAGCAGCAGCAACTGTGGAAAACTTGGGTTGTTTTCTAATTTTTCTCTATAAGAAAATCACTATGGGGTTTCCCTGGTGGCTCAGTGGTAAAGAATCCACATGTCAATGCAGGAGACACGGGTTTGATCCCTGGTGCAGGAAGCTCTGACATGCCACGGAGTAACTAAGCCCACGCACCACAACTTTTGAGCCTGCCCTCTAGAGTCCGAGAGCTGCAACTACCAAACCCCCATGCCGGAGCCTGTGCTCCACAAGAGAAGCCACTGCAGTGAGAAGGCCACACGTCACAACTAGAGACTAGCGGCCACTCACCACAACTAGAGAAACCTGGGCAGCAGAGACGACCCAGTGCAGCCATAAATAAATAAACAAAATTATTTTTTTAAAAACCCACTGAGATCAGCATTCTTATACACAGATCTGTGCAATCTCTTATGTTCTTATAATAAATTTTCTGAAGTTTATTTACTGGACCAAAGAATATAACCATTATTAATTTAATGTACTAGGCGAAGAGATAGAACACTGTTAGCCTTTTGTTAAAGAAAGGCTATACCAACTTAAACTTACACCAGAAATATGTAAGTGTTGGGGAAAGGTAATTTTCTGGGCATCAACTCAAAGCATTAAAATGTTTTAATCACTGCCATTTTGAAAGACAAAAATATCATTTCTGTTTTCCTTTGTACTTTTTTGATTATTAAAGTTAAACACCTTCCCATATGTTTAATGACTGTTGGCATCTGTTATTTTGAGAACTGTGTGTTTATATCTTTGTGCATCTTCTACCTTGATTACTTCTGTTCCAAAACCTGGGGGTTCTCATAGATTACTGTACAAAATCTTGTTGACCAAAGACACAGAAAAGGTTTTAAGAACACTTAAAAGATGAAAAAGCAACACAATTTGAGGATCTCAGTGAAATATAGCTCAGGTAGAGTCAGTGTTTTAGTCAGCTCATTTGTATTTAAGGTTAAAATTATTTTTCTCTTACCATTGAATTCTGCAACTTCCAGGTCTGGAGCTACCAGATAATACTGTTCACAAAGCATCTTGGCGGTTTCATACGCATCTGCAAAGAGAGAAAAAAAAGTCTAGCTGATGCACTAATACCATGGATTCAGACAGACAGACTTAATAAACAAGGACAATGTGTAATCTGACACATTTAGAATTAATCAATTACTGCCTTTTAAAAATAGCCTTTTTTGGCTACAGAAAAGGAATTACAATAACTGAACCAAAACTCCTCTTTTAGTTTTAATGACCACAAGAATATCAAAATGTTATATTAATGACAACATGCTGCTATGCTGTGCTTAGCTGTGTCCAACTCTGTGCAACTCTATGGAATATAGTCCATCAGGCTTCTCTGTCCATGGGGATTCTCCAGGCAAGAATACTGGAGTGGATTGCCTTGCCCTCCTCCAGGGGAATCTTCCCAACCCAGGGATTGAACCCAGGTCTCCCAATGACAACATAAGTCAGCTCTATACAAAACAAACTTTTAAATATTCCTGCAAGGCATTTTTCATGATAATCTATAAATTCAAGACTGTATTTCTGACCGGTCTGCAACCTGACTAAACTGTACCAAAAAAGATATTTGTTGCAAATTCAAAAATAGTAACGCCAATCCTCTTAAGATCTTCCAATTCTTTGTAAGTGAAACACCAATATGTGTTTTCTAAATGAATGGATTTCCATGCGCCACACGATTTAAGCTACTGGAGATATGACTCTCGCTTTAAAATGTCCTTTAAATCACCCACACTTCAATAAAGTATTTTTTTAACATCCTTTAGGTAGTTAAAGGTAACAGGCTGTGCTGTGCTTAGTCACTCAGTCATGTCCAGCTGTTTGCAACCCCACGGTCTGTAGCCCTCCAGCCTAGAATCCATGGGGATTCTCCAGGCAAGAACACTGGAGTGGGTTGTCATGCCCTCCTCCAGGGGATCTTCCCAACCCAGGGATCGAATCTAGGTCTCTCGCATTGCAAGTGGATTCTTTACCAGCTGAGCTACCAGGGAAGCCCAGTAACAGGTTGGGGCTGTTATTTTATCAAAATCTGAAGAGCAACAGTTTGCTTTTGAAAGAAAAAAAAAAAGGGTTAGAAGATCAGAGCCATGAAGGTCAAATGGAAGAGAGAAATCAGGAAGTTACAACCCGAAGATGGGAACACATTCAGAAAGCTACAGTGAATTGTTTTATACCGCATGTGTGCCTTTTCTCTTCAGCTGTAAGCAATCTGAGGTCAGGGTTTGTGCCTTACACTGGTTTTGTAACACACAGAACTCATTCCATGACTGTTAGATAGTCAACAAATATTCCTTGGCTTGATCAATTGTGGGCTTCCCTGACAGCTCAGTTGGTAAAGAATCCGCCTGCAATGCAGGCCTCGGTTAATGATTCCTGGGTTGGGAAGATCCCCTGGAGAAGGGAAAGACTACCCACTCCAGTATTCTGGCCTACAGAATTCCATGGACTATATAGTCCATGGGGTCGTAAAGTGTTGGACATGACTGAGTGACTTTCACTTGATCAACTGTAAGCCTTTTGATAAATTTTTTTAAAAACAGGTTTATTGAGATATAATTCTCATACAAGTTACCCACTGAAAGTGCACACACAATTTAATGATTTTCAGTTTACTTGCAAAGTTGTGCATCCATGACCACAATTAATTTTACACTTCCAATTCCCCCAAAGCAAACTCCATAACCATGAAGAGTCATTACCCCACTCCCATCCAGCCCTAGGTAATCAGTAATCTACTTTCTGTCTCTACAGATTTTCCTATTCTGGACATTTCATATAAATGAAATCATAGAATACATGGTCTTTTGTGACTGGTTTCTTTCACTTAGCATAAAGTTCTCAAGAGTCACCCATGTTGGAGCATGCACTGGTAGTTAATTTCTTTTTATCACTGAATTAATATTGCATTGTGCAGATATATCACATTCTATCTATTCATTTATTCATTGACAAGACATTTGGATTGTTTCCACTGTTGGGGTATTACATGTAAACATTCACACGTTCATTCACACTGCTATGAACATTCATGTGCAAAGTTATTTTGGTGAAGATTTATTTTTATTTCCCTTGGGTATATACCTAGGAGAGAAAAACTGCTTGATCATCTAGCAGCTTTATGTTTAAATGTCTGAAGAACAGTCAGAGTGTCTTCCAAAGGAAGGAGATTTTTTTAAAGTTCCATCTTTACCATTTCTAAAGATCAGATATTTAAATTGCTTTAAAATGCCTCATGGTCACATTTGCAATGTCCTCCACTGGCTATCAGCTCTTTGGAGACAGGCTCACATTTCTTTTCAACTCTTCACATCAGTACTGTGCATACAGGAGCCACATTCAAGATTCAAGAAGGAAGAGGAAAAGATGGAAGGAAGGAAGGAAGGAAGGAAGGAAGGGGGGGGAATAAGCCTGACAAATTAAGTATATTAAAAATTGAAAATGTCAACCTAAAATAATACAAAAGATAAAATTAGGGTATGTTCAGACTGTAAGTTTTGGTTCATTTACTTCCTATTGCTACTAAATTTCAATTTTACCTAATATTTGACTTTAGAGTAAAAATTCTTACTTTATTAAACTTTTAGAATTAAACCACTATAAAGAACCACAGAAACAGACATCAGAATCTCTTTGACAAGATGAAATAATGAGGGCTGGCCAAAAGAAACATTAGCCAGAGGAGAAAGAAATTTTAAGAGATCATCAGTGTAAAAACAGACATTAAAGTAGGACTAGATTTAAACCTTAATGAAGAAGATGATAATTTAGAATTCTATTAATTAAGTTCACAAGTCTTTTTTTTGTAGGGTATAATAAAAACTCATCATCTCTCTCTAAAGTTCTTTTGAAATAAGAAAAGAAATCCAGACATACTCTTTGGGCTGTGGCTACACCACCAAACAATGCTACATCTCCACCTAGTGACACAACAGCACAGAGCTGACCAAGAACTTCCAGCACCTAAACCAGTAAGAACTAAAATCATAATGTGGGGCTTCACTATCCATACACAGCACCAGCACATCTCCACCAAACCACTCCTCCAAGTGTATAACACCGGAACTGCTCTTCCATTCACTATAATACAGGAAATGAGTCCAACTCCGCTAAAATGTGCTAGTTCCTCATGACATTAGCTTGCCCAGTAGCATGAGATTATAACAGCATTTTTTTTTAAAGCTTCTTGGGAATGTACTGATGAAGTGGAAACAGATTTATTCAAAATAAAAGAATAAATTAAATATATTGTCAGAAAAAGTAGAAAAAAAAAGTTTGACACAAACGTAACATATGGAAGATGGTATAGTCCAGATAGACGCAGCCAACTTCTGAAACTCAAAGACCCACCATGATTCCTAAAACCACATGTGAACAAGGATTTTTCAAGCATCTCCACAAATCACAGTGTGAAAGTGAGTGAAGTCGCTCAGTCGTGTCCGACTCTTTGCGACCCCGTGGACTGTATAGCCTACCAGGCTCCTCCAACCATGGGATTCTCCAGGCAAGAATACTGGAGTGGGTTGCCATTTCCTAATTAAGAACTGCATCATGATCCTTCAGAAACTCAAGACAAGACAAGGAGACTCACATGTATCTGCCAGCCAGAAGTATTTTGGGGGCAGTAATGGCAAAATCTGTATTTGTATGCATCCTTACAAATTCCCCTGGCACATCATAATACACACCTAGTAAAACAAGCATCTGTTAAACAGAACAACCCTGCCCATATGAAAATTCTCCAGGTACAATCAATTATAATGATGAGAGACATTCTTTCTGGTCAGATGGGGAACTAGTGCCCTAGAGGGGTCCCCAAAACTGCATGTGCAGAATTCATTAGTAAGTTCACAGGTAAAATGAACCCCTGGGGATTCTGATGCAGTAGCTCTGTGTAGCCTAGGAATCTCTAGTTTTAAAAAAGTAAAAAACTTATTTAGCAAGTAATTCTGAAGAGAGAAGCTAGATTTGGGGACTACTGGCCGAGAAAGTCAATGCTGGGTCATGCTAATTCTGTCACTGTCACTCGTAGGATATGAGTGATCATGGGAGCTGGCAAGTATGACAGCACATATATACTCTAGTAGGACACCTCTGTTCAGGTAAAATAACATAAAAATGAAAAAGTTTTTAAAAATCACCAACATTACAACCAAACTTCGACTACTGGCTTAAAAATTCACTTCCTTTATATCTAGAGTAAAATGCAAGTTCTACTAATAAGCTTTCTAATAAAACTTTCATATTTCTTAAATAGAAACCAAAACCCAAAAATACAATAATTTATCAAATTACTTTTATCTGTGATATATTGAGTTGGCTAAAAAGTTCTTTTGCGCTTTTCATACCATCTTGCAATAAAACCCAAATGAACATTTTGGCCAACCCAATATTTGAGCCACCAATCTTTTTGTTCTTTACTTTTTATTATTTAAAAAAATTTCAATCTTTTTAAGAAGTTTTTTCTTTACCATCAATCTTTAAAAGGAAATATTAGGAAATGATTATTACTGCCACTGAACATGTCATTTTCATTGTTTTAAGAACCTGTTTTCAAGACAAATAGAGTATTAATGATAAAGTAACTAACAAAATTGTAGGTGTAGCACATTTCTATTTCCCCAAGGAAGAGTACCCTAAATGTAAACACACAGATTAAAATAAAAAAAAGACTTAGTCATTAAGGGTAGAGGGAAGGTTCACATAGCAACAAGCCCAACAAATCTACTGTAGCCAGGAATCCTGCATTAGATGTTAAGAAAAGCACACAGGAATATTTAATAGTGTACGGATGTTGTGCTATTCAGTTCAGTTGCTCAGTCATGTCCGACTCTTTGCAACCCCACGAACTGCAGTACGCCAGGCCTCCCTGTCCATCAGCAACTGCCGGAAACTACCCAAACCCACATCCATTGAGTCGGTGATGCCATCCAACCATCTCATCCCTCTGTCGTCCCCTTCTGCTCCTGCCCTCAATCTTTCCCAGCATCAGGGTCTTTTCAAATGAGTCAGTTCTTCGCAAAAGGTAGCCAAAGT